ACGTCTCTTTGTTATTTTTTTTTTTTTCAATTTCCAGACAGTTTCGCGGCCCTCCAAAAATGGGGCGTGGCCCTCCAAATTTGGGCGACGGACTATAGTTTGCGGGATGTCCTAATAGACTATCATTCGCTTAATTAATTTTCTATAATAATAGCTATATTAGTTGTTAACGTATTACGATAAAGAATTTGAAGTCACTGAAAATTTATAGTTGAACCCGAGCGAGAGCGACGCCATCTTTGTTGCTGTTAAGGTGAAGCTAGGCGATCGCAACACGAGGGGATTTCATGCAAATCAGGAACTATCTCATGTGCTAGCAAAACATGTTAATTTCTCCTTTTGGAAGCTAAACTTGATGTCTCTTTTGTTTAACACATCAAAGATATATCAAACCTGCGTATACAATCGTTTTTATTCGTTTCACTTTATCGTGAGTTACAACAACATGTTTTTAGTGGGTAAACATTTCAAGTCGGCGATTTAGAATACCAAATTTTTGCATTCCCCAGACCCCTACAGTAGGGTAGTGTTACCTTGATCGGCCCCACTTTCGGTCCCCCCTTTCAGACATCTCTGGATCCGACCCTGATTGTCTACTTCATTTAAATGTACATTTATATCATCAGTCTGTATATTATACTTAGTATGTAAACAAGAAAATAATTTACTGTAAAAATTACTACAGAATAAAAATTGGGGAAACATTGAGCAACCAACTACGGATTTCCAAATCAACTGTCTGAATTAACCCATCAACTGAACTGTTCGAACTGACAAATCAAGTCACTTGTTGGAGTTGACCAATCAACTTACCTGTTTGAATTGACAAATCAAGTCACTTGTTGGAGTTGACCAATCAACTTACCTGTTTGAATTGACAAATCAAAGTATGTTGACGATACGGCATTGATTAGTAATTGCACTCATAATTCAACCCATGAAATGCAAGTTGAACTTAACTTAACTGGATGAACTTAACGAATGGTCTTCAAAAAATAGATTAAATCTTAACCCTCACAAATGTGCTGCTTTTCATTTTAACTTCACAAAGAATTCTCAGACCGTAATTGATTGCCAGATAAATTCAAAGAACATTGACTGTTACACCTAGCATTAATGACATATTTAAGCTAATAAAAAAGGTTTACATGTTAAAGTCACTAAAAAAATTCAAGTTGCCATTAACTGATCTTGTTGTAGTGTATACAGGCTACATAGACTTCTACTGGAGTATGCTACTCCTGTTTGGAATGCTGGTTTAACCACTAAACACAATGATCTATTAGAGAGTGTTCTGAAAAGGGTTGTCCGAATAATCCTAGGAAATCTATAAGAAAACTATGATAATGCTCTATTCATATGCCAACTTGATTACCTAAAAACCAGAAGACACAAGCTATGAATTGATTTTGCTAAACAACTTTGAAAATCAACTATTTTTAAATCCTGTCTTCCAATTAGAACATCTGAATTTAATCTAAGAAAATCTAATGCATATAAATTACCAAAATTCAGAACTAATAGGTAAAAAAATAGCCCCATACCACACATTATACATATTCTAAATCAGATGTAAAATCCAACCAACAGACCACAATTTTACCAAATTCATCTTTATCAATTTGCTTTTTTGTAATTAGGTTAATTTTGTTTGTTATTTAATTGTAGTTGTAACCATGTTGCTCTTATTTTATGTCGTACATGTACTCAGTACATCATTATCAGTCGCAATTTTTTGGAAAGCTACAAAGACAATATTTTTGAATAAAATTGATTTGATTTGATCAACTGACTTGTTTGAATCCACTAACCTGCGTTATTTCCTGTGTCATGATCTCTATAGAATGTTCTTCATCCATGGTATCATCAAGTGTTGGTCTGTTAAGATGTTTATCATGGACCATTGCTAACTCTTTCACTGCAAAGAAGTATATTATCATATTTCCATTAAACTTTCTATAAACAAGGATGTATTAAAGGTCTGTCTCTTATACACATCTAGATGTGTATAAGAGACAGGTATAAGACTTTACTATAAGACAAATATTAGTTATCGTCTTAACCAGCGTAAATTAGCACAATTTTTTGTTGTAATTTTTAAGAAATATTAATATGCAATATAATTATAAATTATTAAATTAATCTTAATCTTAGAAATAGTTCAAAATACAGTATAAAAAATGTAACTTACTTTTAAGATAATTTGATTGACTTTTTCTAAAACTAATTGATAAATCTTGAAGCTGCCCTGCTAATGTTGACATTATGTTTTTAGTGACTTTCTGCTCTTGCAACGTTGACCTTCGGCTCTTTGCACCAACAGACTGAATTGACCTTTGACTTCGGTGAAACATCTGAAAATATAGAAAAGAAGGTTGAGCTTTGCAAGACTGTAAAATCATGGAGGCAGAACTATGAAATTTAGGCTGAATTTGCCATGAAGTAACAATGCAAACCAAATCAAAGTTTGACAGAACCACTGGCTAATCTAGGAATTTGAAATACAGGGGCTTGGGAAAGGACTTTCACAGATGGGGTTCTATACTATCTCAGCCCCAACATGGTACAGGCTGAGGTAGGATTGGATTGGATTTCTTCAGTGTCAAACGCTAACCCACAAAAGTCCAAAGGCTTATTTTCGGTAAGGTCCCTTCTGTTAATAAATTGGCCAGTACACCGGGGACAATCTCATACGCCCGTATTCTTAAAACAAACTTTAGTCGAACTGCGAACTAGAACTTCACTTAGTGCTAGTTGCAACTTGAACTTCACTTTGTATTCACAAACAACGTAGTCCAAGTTTTAACTATGACTAAATCAAGTCCTAGTTTTAGTTCAACTGAAGACGACTGGCAAGCCACGACTATCAAACTAACCAATGAAAAGGGCTAACTTTAATAGCAGATGAAATTTTAGAGATCCGGTAACGCGGATGAATATTAAGTTGCCGTCTGTGGTTCAAAAATGTATTTCCTCATAATTCATAATAGACCAGCGTTCCGCAAATTTTTTAAGTTTACTGTAGTGATCTTTCTAGTACAGGTCTTATAATTATTTTTATCTTTAGCTCATGACTCATCCCATCATTCCTCCATACCGGATTTACTCGATCTTACAGGGTTAATACTAGACGATAACATAGTGTCTAGCTCCCGAGGGGGCATAGACACAAAAACCGATAACTCAAATAGCACGCATCATCTGGCAC